GCCTTCTTTGGAATCCATGAGAAAAATGCATGGGTTGCTGAATTTGGAAAACCAAGATAGCACAGACTGTCTGACCACATTCCCTTGGCTCTGTCAGTTGTGAACCACTGCTTGGGCAATTCCCAGTCACGATGTGTGAGTGCTGCTACCCGGATGCTCCCTGTATTCAAGTGTCACTAGTTGTCAACGGAATTGATACTGTTCCAACACTGCGGTCTAAAGATTCTTCTAATAGGAAGCAGCCAGTGTAACAGATTCTAATATTCCAGTTTAGTAAAGGGATGTGGAGATGGCTGTTTCACTACAGAATAATTTTTGCTTTGAACTTTGAACAACTTAAAAGCCAAAAACTAACACACTGTCATCTAGTGACATGACTGAAACACTAACTGATGATGATGATTGGACCACAGAGCCTAACATGTACTTGGAATAAGAGCCCTTTCTGTTTACGCCACTCAGAAAAGACCCACGATGAATCTTTGCCCACCTGATTGCGTTTGGACTTCATCGGCATCACTGGCGACCACCTGAATGTCTTGATGTCAAACCTTTCTACGGTGCTAAGCTCATGAATATCATCACGTCCTCCCGCCACGTAGATCTTATCCTGAAAAACTGTACAGCCTGCATTCTCTCTCCATGAGCCCATTGCAGGACAGATAGTCCAGCTGTCCTCTGTTGGGCTGTATCGCTCCACTGGAAAACAGTAAACACCATAACATCACTTTATTAGCCCTATACAATTTCTTGCATTAGGAATTAGTCTTTCACATACCCAAGCTTCCTCTCCATGAGACACAGACAGGGAGAGAAGCTTGGGGTCAGAGCACAGGATCAGCTATTGTACAGCACCCCTGGAGCAGTTGGGGTGAAGGGCCTTGCTCAGGGGCCCAACAGAGTACGATTGCTCTGCTGGCTGCAGGATTTGAACCTGCAACCTTCCAGCCACAGGCACAGATCCTTAGCCACAGAACCGCCCTGTTGCACTGTTCCCAGTATTGCACCGTCCTGTTCCCAGTTGCACTGACAGTGCTGAGAATCCTAGACACGAAGCAAGGAACATCAGATATGCTTCAGGTAAAAGCACCACTGTAAGTTATCCCTCTTAATGCTTTTGTTCAGTGTACTGAATATTTATTTTTGATACTGCATGCATGCTCCCACAAAGCCTCCTCAGATGCCATTTCCAAGCACTTTAAAAACCTGCAAGATGTGCTTAGCTTCAAGATATTTTACATTTAAGGAATTCTATGAAGAATAGTAAACAAGATACCAAGTCGATGGTACAATACAGTATATGTAACTGTATAGGAAAATGTCATATTTGTTGCCGAATGCTGGAACATAAATATTATAGCATAAACATTTCTTAATATTAGAAAAAATCCAATACAGCTTCTATTACCACTGAATTGTTGTACATAATTACATAATTAGTTGACGGTAAGGCATTTGTTTACAAATGTGCGCATAGCTGTGATTTACTCAAATGCACAAGGTCAAACAATTACAACTTAATAATAACCGGAAATGATTGGATTGTGTCCAGAAAAAAAAGGGAAATGCAGTGAGTAAAAGATCTAAAAAGGAAATTACAATGTGAATTTCCCAGTTAAGAAAGACCTTCCTTTCCAGGAACTGTTTAGATACAGTACACCTTTAAAATCCTCTTCTGTCAGCTGCCTCTTCCACGGTTAGTAGCTCTTGTTTCTGACTCTGAAACTAGACAAGGTTATGGGAGTTCTGTTGACCTTGACTTCCCAGAGACAGAAATAGATCCTCTAGCTGGCAGTAAAAGTCATTCATTTTTTTTTTTTGATTTGGCTACCAGTTCCTAGAATAAGTGATGCACTTATTTTACTGATGAGCCAAATTAGAATTTACAGGAGTGTTATGAAGCCAATTAGGTTGATTGATTTTTATTCAATAAAAAATAAGCAATTCAACATCTTGTAGGAAAATGTTCCTCACAGCAGCTTCTGTTGTCCACATTTCTGATGGCAGTAATTTAGAGATGTTTTGCTTGGCTTTAAAACTGGATTCCCTGCACCGTCTTATCAAAGTTTCTGCATACATGACAAACCAAGACAGCTGCCAGACTGCATGTACTCCAGAGAATGGTTTAACCCGCTTGAGAAAGTGAAGCATTGCTTTTGAGTTGTACCGTACATACATGTTGTGCATTGATTCAAATGTACTGTATCACCCTCTGTATCAGGAAATCTGATTCATGTTTCTTTATTTTTCTAATAGATGGCTTTGATTAGTTTCTCAACGGTTGTTCATAGCAGATTTATCAGTTTCTCCTTTTGAGAGAAGGGGAAATGAAGAAGAGAAGGAGATGGTATATTCAACTGTATTGATCAAAGTGAGGTGGAGGGAAAATGTCAGGGGGAGTGGCATGGCAACACTTTCATATCAGAATCGCATGGCCATTTTAGGCCCTTGACTGAAATTGCGAGTATTAATTAAAAAAAATCCTTTCAAAGCAACGCAGGTAAGAAACTGCTTTCTGAAAACAAAGAGCACAGAGTTTCTCCTGACCAACAGGGTGTTTGAATTTTCAGGTTCTGATGGACACCAAACCTCAGATTTAGCTAATCCATCTTGAAAGTCCTATGAATAAAAGATTTAGAAAATATGCAATAGATTTATCCTATACAGTACATCACTAGGAATAACAACACCCAAGAATTAGGTGTACTGAAAGGATTATGGAGTGTTTCGTGAAAATTTGGCTTAACCCACTTGGCTGAGGGCTGAACTCCTGCCCAGAGGACGAGGAGGCAGGGGCCCTCATGCAGAGTGATGAGTGTCCAAGGTGCAGTTGTAGAGGTGGAGATGGGGTTGGGGTGGGATGCAAAAAGAGGTGTGCGAGGGAGAGAAGGGGATCACATACAGTACAGTATTTGTAGTGTTTAGGAGAGGAAATGATGTCAGGAGTGATCGCTAGTTATTGACAGCCAGGTCTGATTGAACTTGGCTGTTGTCATCCCTCCCAAACGTTTGTTAAAAAACTCCATTAACTGTAGAGTACAGTATATGAATAAGTGGAGGCTATTTCCACTCTGAAAATTAAAAAGACAAAAATACAAGAATCGGGTTGTCAAGTATTCTTTGGGCGTGTAGGCTCCCCTACTTTAACCCCTCAGTATACAGTATACTGTGTACATTTATATTTATAGTATATGCACTGTAGTTATTTTATGAGAGTTTTGATAAAAGCTGTATGAGATGGACAAGACCACCCTAGTATGCGTGCATCTCTTCAGTGTAATGTGAGTGTGCAATATGATCCTTACCAGTGTTCAAAGGTGATTCCCCATCGCTTCCTCCCATTACATACAGGAATCCAGCCAAAACTGCTACTGCAGCTCCTGCTCGTCTATAGTTCATGGGGGCTACTTTGAACCACATGTTCATTTTTGGGTCATATCTGAAACCATAAACATATTCATCATGGACCTGCATTAATTCAATTGCAACAAAAAAAAACATTGCCAGACTCCACTAATAAACCCATTACTTTACTCAGATCACCTCCAGGTCCAGAACCTGATCTCAAATTTCAAAAAGGATGATCAGTGGTTTACAAATTATGTTAGTGCAAAGCAGTATTCAAAGGATTCAAAGGAAACTCCATGGCCGTATTGTTTGGGGAAAGGCCAGTGTGCTTTGTAAATATTGGCTAAGCCTGCATTCACTGCTGTGTTCAAACATTTCACCTCTCCACGATGTTGGTACTGGTGGTGCCATCACATCCACCCAGAGCAAACAGGCACTCATCCATGGCAGCCAGTCCCACTCTGCTCCTTGCGCTGCTCAGCGGTGCCACATCACTGTTCCATGTGTCTGTCTTTGGGTCATACCTGGAAGAGGAGCGATACAAAAGGGTTGTCGAGAGGTCCAACGCTAGAAAGGTCTGTATGTCGGTAGTCAGAGGTTCGAGAACATATCAAGCTCAGTTGGTGGATAGATTCCTAATACCAAGCGATGTTACCAGGTGAACTGAGGGTTTAAATAGTGAAGAAAGGGGTGTGTAAGGGAAATTGGATAATGAGGGGTTAATTAGGACCAGTTGCAGCTGTAACAGATACCAGACATCACACTCAAAAAGAACACTGTTTTGAAAGAAGAAAAGAAATTCAGGGTAGACAGTACTCGTTTACATTTACAAGCACTTTAAACCTTCTTACTGAACTTAATCCATAAAAAAATGATTAAAAAAAATCACAAACTACTTACTGTAAATGGCCTCTTTTAGGGAACAATTAATAAAGACTGCAGTACCTATATACAGTATTACAATATATTTAAAAGAAAGTCTAATGAAGTAATACTTTAGAGATTTGACCTGGCATCAGGCTAAGTGTGCCTAAATAAGCATCCTTCTGATGAATGACTTCTAACAAAGATCCTGATGTTTCACTTGGGTAATTAGCTAAGGAACACTTACTTAATATGTACACTCTTAGTAAGACAGGCCTTATCTTACTGCTGATACCGACTTACACTTTCACTGCCATAAATGAATGGGTTAGTCATCAGCCACTGGGGAGAAAAATAGTATCTCTTAATAGCCATCACATTAACAGCTATTTTCATTTAGCATCACTGCTTTTTTTTTTAAATGTAAACCCTATGGTAGCCCTGCCATTGCTTTTAGTTCATGTATTTGTGACAGCCAGTGTTAACAAAGATAATTTTCTTCTAATGGAATCTATTAGTACTAATGGAAAGTCATCCATTTATATCTGCTATGGTTCATTTATCCACTGGGGAAGAATGTTGCATGTACTTGTACAGGAAGTGAAAAACACACATTTCTATACATTTCTCTAGGTGTTTGAGTAAGGATGCTGCATTTCTGGTTAGGACAAGCTATTGATTTTTATACTGAAATGTGGCAGTTATAAATGATGAAGAATTTTGTTTAATTCTGTAAAGAGGCATTAGAAAGACAAAAAAAAAGATGTTTGAGGCAGATTCAAATCGCCATTTTCTCTAGGTACTGTAGTAAGTGATCTTACAGTATATTTATTTTTCAAATCTGCCAAATATTGCTGGCATCTTCAAAACATTAATTCCTCACTATATAAAGAGAATGGTGCATTTTTATTTAAAATAGAGATAATGCTGCTTATTGCAAAATCTCTAACAGTGGTTCTCTTACAAAAGAATGTAATAAATCAAAACCATGGTAAGAGCAGAGTACAGTGAAAGCATGGTAAAAGCATGGTTAAGCCCAGAAAGGTGTGGTAAAGGATGACACACACTTAAGGAGAGACTGGTAAAGAAAATAAGCTAAACTGGAATCATAAATGCTTTGTATCATGTTTTCCCTTCTACTGTATATTTGTATTGATTTCCAATTTAGAAAAAAATACAAGGTGCTATTTTTTGTAATACTGACTCAAGTGTCCTCCTAGGTAGATTAGACGTTCCCCTAAATCACAGTCACAGTAACCCCTGCTCAAGAGGTCATAGCAGAGGGACGTTAAAGTTGGAGTCTCTTATGTCATTTATGTTCAATTATCTGGTAACAGCAACTGATATATTTCACTGTAAAAGCACAAGAAACTATAGGAGCTTCCATCATTTCTGAAGGGTGGATCGCTATGAAAATTTTACCATGCCAATTTAACACTTTGCCTGTAGTTTTACTATGTTTTTTACTGTGGTTTTCCTATGGTTTACTGTGTTTTCAATATGCCTTCACATTGCTTTACTACGCTGACCCTGGAATGTCATTGGAAAAACAAATGTTTACTATACATGTTTTGCTTAAATTATGAAGTATTATGCTAATTCCAGCTTCCAGTGTAATACAACTTGCTATATGTTCAAAACTCACCAGACCCTGGCAGCATACCACTCATACACTTACAGTAAGTCTACATTGGTGGCATATAAATATACTGTAAGATCTTGTTACTGACATTGAATTTGGAATTTTATATTAATTTGTTTACTTTTTGCGGTCCTTTTTCTTGTTTTTGTTTTATTAACGATGTACAGTGACCTTGGTTTTGGAAAGGTGCTTTATAAATGAAAGGTTATTATTATAGTGAAGGTATGTCAATACCATTTATGGCAACAACAAAAAAATTACAAAAATATGAGGACTTATTTACCAACGTAAGCTTTCATACAGTAACGGTAGTTTGTAAAGAGTGTGGAAACAATCTCTATTGGGGAATTCCAGGTTGGGGAACCATTAAAAACAGAAAAAAGATCTTCATTGCTCGTACTGTACCTTTCTACATTACGGACACAAGATATCCCATCATGACCCCCCACAGCATAGATGAAGCCCCCGACTCCACAGACGCCCACGTCCCCCCTGCGTCTGCTCAGCGGAGCCATCGCCTTCCACTCATTCGCCTGGCTGCTGAACCTCTCCAGCCGAGATGTGGGCTCATCAAGGCTCCACCCGCCAGCTGCCATAATTGGGTAAAAAAGTATTTGTACTCAGCTGCATTCATTTAAACTGGATAAGTGTGAGGTGAACTCAAACTCAAAAGATTCTGGGTAACACCTGAGCACAAAAGACCTCTGGAAGACATGAACTGTACTTTTACTTTATTGATGAAACAGCTTGCTAAGTCATAGCCTAATGCCTTAATAACATGTCTAATTAATGAAACATGAAAGATATGTTTTTGTTATTTATTATGATGAGAGGTATTACTGAAACACTTCTGAGTTTTTTTTGTCTTCTCAATAGACTCAATTGATGATTACAGTAATCCTTAAGGTTTTACAGCTATTCCACAGTGTTCCCTGAATTCCCCTTACTGTATATTTGTCATTTTCTTTGCTTTCCCATGGAATCCAAAGTTTTGCCTTCCAATATTTCCACTGCGGTACTAAATTACCTTATTCTTTTGCCACAGTATCCCACAGGGAACATTCAGCACTGGCGTTGATGTGAAGACATGTAGCTTTTTCAGTCAAATTTTTGTACACCGAGTGGATATTCTGCAGTTTTCACAGCTGTGTTTTTGCCATGTGACATTTAAAATCAGGTTTGGTCACTCATTGCACAGACAGTATGGAGACACACTCAATGCCAGGGCAATGAAATAATATCCTGTGACATCTTTATAGGAGTCAAAGGCATGCAAAGGAGATTCAAGGCATTCTTCCATAAGAAATGTGTGTGGGTTATTTTAAACTGGGATTAAAAGTAATTCTGACCTAACCCTACTACAACATCTAAATTAAATTAAAGGATCCATGTGAAATCTTATGCTTTTTTACAGTAGTTTAATAGTATTAATTAGACCTAAGAAAAGATTTAATAAAACACACTTTGAATGTCATAATTGTTGCTTAAACACAGTGCAGAATCTTTCAGGGTTAAATATTAATGGATAGCCTTAATAACACAGACTAAGATACATTAGTACGATATTAACTGTTAGTATTTTGACTTAAATAAGAATCTATACTTCAGAGGAAAGTGCAACAAGAATAGATTTGTTTCTATTGTTCTTATAGCTATGCATCATTATATTATGAAGGGAAAAAAAAAACAAATTCATGCCACCTCAAACACTGCCACTTATACAGTTTCATCACTCTTCATGTAATGTAATGCTGGATTAAATGGTATAAACAGTAATGATATTAAAAATAAATGAATATAGTAAAAGACAATAAGTGTCGCTTAAAATGACGTTTACACACTACAGATTGCCTCTTTTGTCATTCTCAGATTCTATAAAACCCTTGTATGTTCATGAGATATAGTACATTCCCCTTTTTGTATCTCAAACACACAGAGCAATGAGAGGGCATTGTGATGACTCTTCAAACAGACAACCTTCCTGTTATCCCATATCATGGAAACTTCTACTTGATATAAATATCCTTGAACACTTGTTACAATTTTATTTTGTGGCAAAGTAATTTCAATGTGTCCGCAAAGGAGCTGAAATATCCTTTGCATTCATTCCAGACCCTGCAATGCCCTTTAAATGTACTTCAGCAGTCTCCTTGATTTCAGCCACTGTGTTTAGGAAGGTGACTAACCTACAAAGAGTACGTCTGTGTACTGAGGCTTCTGGAGAGTCCTGCAATGGGCACTCTGAGTTACATGTTTGTCCTGAGGAAGCTCAATGGATTTTGGTGCACCGACAGCTTCTCTGCAAAAACAACAACAACAAAGAAAAACATTAATCTAACATGGAAGAGAAAGAATAGCTACTTAAGTATATAGTATCTACACTGGAATAGAAATTTCAGAGAATGAGACACATTTAGAAAATTACATGTTTTAAAAGAATACTGTATATAGACATTCATGGGCTATTGCTTACCTTTTGTTTTGACTGAGGCCAGATGAAACATTTTAACACAAGAATAATTTAACATTTTAAAATCAGTATAATGAAAACCCTTTGCATCAACATTTTTTTATTCAGCCACCTTTCAGATTTCATTCAGCAAAAATAAATAGCCTAACAGACAATAAAACGTATCCAAAGATTGGAGATAATATTGGACAAAAACATTTCTGTACATGTAAGAAATAATAATGGTAGCCATCGTCAGTCTGGCATAAAAAACTGAAAATAATAGTGAAAGTAGTTAGTATTGATACCCTTGTTCATTGTAAAGACCCATCTTGTCCTACAGTAGTATTCTTCCTTTTGACAACTTCTGACTTGCAGATGACCAGAGTAATGATCACCTCACACCACACTCCTCAGATTGGATCACAATATGCAAGGCAGCAGGAGCAGCTCTTCTGGTTGGTATGTACAGTATATGTAACAGGGTCACACAGAAAGTGCCTGAAACCCTAGCCAGATGTCACACACACTCAGTAACCAACCCTGGTTTGTTGAGTCAAATCAAGGTATTTTTGCTATTTCAAATTGACATCCAATTTCTGAATAGTAAATGCTGATTCAATAAAATACTCAGGGCTGAGTAAAGCTGAGCTGCAACAGTAGCATAGTCCAAGAAAATCAACCATTGAGAAAGCAGGGCAACAATCTGGATATAGTAGAAATCAAAGCTTTTTGAAAGAAACCAATGACAACCAGTGACTTTTGACTTCATTCTCCTTTAACTTCTGTGGCAGCAGAAGGGTATTTGTGCCAAATCTTAAAAACAGCACCCTGTGACATATTATATGACAAATACAAATACAAATAATGATAGAATAGCATATTAACAGACTCATTTATTCTTTATAAAAGGCTATAGCATGCAAGATAAAGAAGCTTTCCAGAAAAGGAGTGGCTGCAAGGTCCAACAATACCATAATATGAAACCTGGATTCAGAAGAGTCCTGCAATTAGCACCAGCTGCTAATTATTACCCATCTGAATGTCAATGATGATTTATTATGCTTGACAGTTTTCCAGGCACTGACAGGTGTTTACAGATAATGCCGCAGGAGGATGAAGCCAGACCTTCGGGATTTCTGAGCTCACAACGCCTCTCTGATAACCCAGGCCATCCGCCTCGTTTTACAGGGTAACAAACGGTAATGCTTGCCTTCCAACATAAATCACCCTCCAGTTGCAGTTGCTGACAGCTCTGCAAAGCAGCTGAGAGAGTAGGATATTCCTGTTTGTCGGGTGCTGAGCAGCTGTTGTTACTCATGTGGCTGGCCTCTGGGATTTGAGGTGTTGTCACTGTGGTGTATCAGCTGCTTTTCTTTTAAGTTATCCCTTAAATCTTTCATTTTACTGTATATTCATTTTGTTCCTGCACAGATTTGCTAAGAGATACCTGGCTACTTCTTATATGTTAGTATGCAACCTGTATGATCAGTACTACATCTTTTTTAGGGATATCCATTTTAATATAAAGCACAATAAGTTCAGGACACCTCTGGAGATGAAGTGTGGAAATTTTCCATTAATTTTGTGGTAATCAATCCCTTTCATTATAAAGGGAATTAATTATAAGCTAACAACTGCATAGAACAGTACTGGTTGAGAACAAGGACTGGGTTACAATAACCTTAAGTGCACTCCAACCTCCTTTGAGTATGTTCCTACACACACAACCCTAAATATCAATAGGATTGCTGATTGGACCCAAGTCACTGCACAGCTGTCACAGACCACAAACTGCCAACCTCAGCTCACCCTGCGGCCTGGGATCACATGCAATATCCTAACAAGACGTGTAGAAAGGTCCCTGTGAAACATCCTCACCCACAAAATACCACTCATACCTCTTGGTGTAGAGAAGTATTTTAAGGAAGCAGAGGTTGTGTGCAAAAGAGAGTTTTGCCACACACAATGAACCGAAAGATGAGAGGATTTAAGTCCGGGAGGCACCAGCCCACAGCATGAGTGATAAGGATGGGTTCAACTTCACCCAGATATGTAAATCAAATTTACACCTTCGGTTTAATTACAACAGTGTGATTCAGCCATTAAAAGATAATGCCAGTCAGTGTCTGAATGTAAAGGACCAGTAAGAACATCTTCCAAGCTTGTCATGTTACATCTGGTCACTACTCATCAATGTGCAAGTAAAAGAGTCTGGGTTTCTCTGATATCTACTTTACTGTGACAGAGTTCTTACTCCTTTTAAAAACCCTTATACCCTACAATTTGTATCTCTGATTCGGGTCCCCTTTAAAGCTTCCTTGCGGATTTGGATATTTTAATAGCATTTTTACAATACCTTTGAATTCCTTATGATGAACAATTGATTAGGTGTATCACTGTCTTTGCATGCAATACCTTTTTTACTTTTTAAACCAAAACAATACAAACTTCAAGTGAAAATTTAATTTTACAACCATCAGCTATTTCAGTTGAACTCAGGAAACAGAATCTGACCATGCTAGCACACTCATTTGCATTTCAAGTGTGATGTCTTTCTTTCAGACCCCCCTTGATGGATCTCTAGGTCCACACATTGGTCCTCTCTCATGGACAGCTGCTCTTCACTTAGATGTACTGTAGTTCCTCACTTTTCAGACTCTTCACCCTTCATCTTGAATAATTGCTATGCACCAAAAAAGTCATGACCACTGTGTGAGGGCCAGCTTCTCTTACCCTTCCTGCTTGCACTGGAGAATTCAACTTCAAGTCACCAAGAAAAGATCAGGTGTTCAGTCGGCAGAGCCTGACCTTGGGCTCACAGAAGCTGAGCACACTAGCACTAAAAGGGAAGATTTACTAACGCTCTGACAAAGAAAAGAAAGGTGTGAAACAAGGGAGAAAGGAACAGGAAGTACTCAACTGGATTCTTAAGATATAATACATCAGTGCAAGCATCAGAATGAATAGCATTTTGGGACACAAAAGAGGTACATGTACAGTAAGCAGCTGACTCTGCTTGAAACATTTGAGAATTCTGTTGATCATGTAAAAATGGCTCTGTTGAACCTGCTCAGTCAAGCCTTAGCTTTCTAGTTTGGATTCCACCATCAGCCACTTGCAATATTCACTAAATTGGTCACTAGAAAATAGATATTGGAGCATTAAACAAAACTTAAGTCTTAACACCCAGTTCTCATTCTTCACTACAATAGATGTTACAACTACGACACTTCTCTAAAAACCAGAGCTTCACAGGCATCCACCAATCCCCTATCATTAACAGCTGCTCCTGTTTGGCCAGTAACACCTTTTAAAATCAAAGCTTCCACCCTTGACAGCAGCTGGCTGTTTTCCTCCCCCAATCTCACATTGCCTGTCCACCAGTAAAGATCCAGGTATTCAAGATTCAGTCTGTCATGTAGTCTCCTGTCATCTCACCAATGAGAGAAAATCCTGACAAGCAATGCACCCAGCTCCTTCAGGGCCAAACATCTCCCCATCAGTCCCCGATTCTGCTGGCCCACCCTGTTCCCATCTGCAGTGCACTGTGTTCATATTATGCTTGATCAATTGTCTATCAAACAGCTGCCTGTCCAGCCCTTGTGACACCCCTCATTATAGACCTAAACTACTTTCTCAAGTATTTCTAACTTACTGAGTTTCACAGGCTATAAACCAGCTCAATCCAATGCTAACAAGCACCCCGCAATATAATGTAATACACATTTACTTACAGCCTAAAACCTTTTTCCTCCTAGCTTGTCTTATACACCTCTTAATTAGCCTAGTGGCTAATTCCACAGAGAGCCTATCACAACAGCTCCTTTCCCTCAAAGGAATTTCACTCCAGCTGCATAGTAATTTCTCATTCAGAGCAGCTGTGTTTCATTCTACACTGTTTCATCCTGACTCAATCCAAGTAGGAGAAGAGCTTAACTGACACTTGATCTTGATAGAAAATAAACAAACATAAGACAAAGGGCACACAAGGACAAAGGATATGTAATAATTAGAGTCTTGAGCTGGTATCTCATCTTTACAGCTGAACCTTATTACCCATTGTTAAAATACTTTCAAGCCACAGATTAAGTTGATTCCTCTGGTAGTGAAATCTGAGAGCATTACTACTAAGACGAACGCATGATAATGTCATGCCCCTTTATTCTGTGGAAATTAGAAATGTACGTACAATAGTTGACATCTAGCCATGTAATGCCCTTAACACAAGTTGCTAAGAAGAAGTTGGTTAGAGGCAAATGCACATTCAGAGACTAGTCTGACACATTTAGACATCTCTGGAGATATGATAAGTAACACTCAGATTATAGTAACATTCTAAAACAGCACAGGTTTTACTGCCATACTGCCAGAAAATTAGTTTGTCTTGAAATGCACGTAAAAAATGCTCAGTTATTATTTTAAGTTGTATAGGGTTCCAGTAAACTCTCCATATTGTAGCTCTTTTTTGTCATCTACATAGTTAAGGGTTTTAATTGCTATTCCACATCCATTAAAGATGGTGAGTAGAAAAAAGGAGCTCATTTTTATTCTCTAATGAATTACTCAGTTTTAATTATACTTAAAAAAACTGCCGTGGAATACCATAATATTCCTCTTTATATAGAAAAAAGGGTGGCACACTAATCAAAACATAAAATACTTCCATGGGTTTAAATTACTGTATTTGCAAAATAATAACATGGTGTTATCATGTGCAATAAGATACAGTAAAGTACATAACCTAGATATTTCACCATGTGAAATGAGGAAATTCGAATATACACTCTAGCACACTTTAAAAAATACTTAATTTAAACAATTAACCTGGCAATGCAAAATAATGTCTAATCTGCTTTTTGTGTTTGCATATGATAATTAAATAAAACACTTCTAACAGCACACAAGATCTAGACATTTCAATGAAAAGAAAAATACAATACTGTATAAAATGTTTTTCCTCTTCACAATTAGTAGCAATACTTTATACTGTAAATATACTACACAATCTCTAAATGTCAAGCTAGTGTGACAAATGTGCTAGTCTAATGTGAAATGAATGCCATAAGAAATTCTACACTAGTGTCAAACATGGAAGGAGATACTGTGCATTGCACACAAAAAAAAGACTCTCTGCAGGATGAGTGCTCTAGGTTGAGAAGGTTACAGGCTCAAATAACTGCATTCCCAGCCAGAATGGGTACCAGAAACTTATTGTTACAAATCTATCCTGACCAAGGCTCACAAAGTGCTAACTACATCAACAGGAAGCAGAAAAAGACATGTTAGACAAGAGCTATGATCCTTTGGATGACTCTCATTGGCAGGAACTGTAGAGCGGTTGAAGAAAAATGGAAACAATATTTGCATCCAGCAAACCTTGTGTACATGGAGTACATTCAAAAAGCTCCTAAAATCAGTATCAAATGAGTCTTCCAGACAACAGCCTGGGCAGCGTTTTTCTTTTTTTATTGCCTCTAGAGAAATTTGGAACAGTAAATTACAAACCAAATGAATAATATACTGTTTGAGTACAAGTCTTTCTGCTGGGCCTGATATCTTATTGTGCATTTTAAGTCCTGAAATTCATTATTCATGCCCTGAAAGTGGAAGATAGGAAAGTATTAATTCTGTGTAAGGCAGGAACTCACAAGATTATGTGTCACAGGGCTGATTGCATAAGATGAGCCTGGTGCCACTTATCTGCGTCTCTCAAAAGTGTTTTCAATCCTGGGTGGAGCAGACTGGTCTTTTTAAAATGCTTCTTTGGCCAGACACTCCTTCCATCTGAGGTGAACATGTGATAGTTGTTCCTATTCAGTGTCTGGCCACATTTCCTAAAAATACTGATGTATACATATAAAAATACTGATGGGGTAGTAATAAGATAAGATCACTCTATCGATCATATACAATTTATTGTATTAGGAATTAATCTTTTCACATACCCCAACTTGCTCTCCATGGGACACACAGACAAGGAGGGAAGTGTGGGGTCAGAGCACAGGGTCAGCCATTTATACAGCACCCCTGGAGCAGTTGGGGTTAAGGGCCTTGCTCAGGGTCCCAATGGAGTAGGATTCCTCTGCCAGCAGCAGGATATGAACCAGCAACCTTCCAGCCACAGGCATAGATCCTAAGCCACAGAACCACTGCATCACCCTTATTATGGCAAACATGCTGTGCTCACATTCCATCACCTTGTCCATCTCGATCTGCTTTGAATTAGATGCACAATGCTTTACAACGCATTCACTAATTACATTTGAGGAAATGTATAGCAAGGCTTTAGAGCTATACGCGGGTGTTCCTAAAAGATCAAAGTAACAAAATGCACAGCAGTTATAAAAAATGATTTCATTCATTAATGAGTGTACAGTACTGACCTCCCATGTTTCAGTGGATTTTGTTCCCCAAAATGGATGGGACATTGTATAGCCAGTAAGACTTTTAAGCAATGTGGATTGCTGTTCTGTGGCTAGTGACAGTAAAGTACTGCAAATATGTGTTGTAAATAGCTGGATTGACAGTAGTCATAATCCCTAATTTGATGTCACTTATATATCATATCAGTGCATAATCATTATAACCGGCATAATCAGAATGAACAGAACCTCTATAGAATGAAATAGCCACAAAGGTCATGCCAGCATGCTCGTGCTCCTAGTTAACCCATCGGCTACAGCCTGTTGAATCGGAACCACGAGGGAAACAAAACTGTGACAGACGTCCAGGTGCTGTCAACGTATTTTATTCTTTTGCCCCTCAAAGTAATGATAGCCTGTGGCAAGACCAACTCGATGGCTTGAAGCAGCAGGGAGTGGCCTTTAATTGCTGATCACCTTTTATATTTAGTGATTTCAGTGTCACAACGACAGGTCATAAACACAGTGTTACTGTAATACAGTACATGGGGTTTATGATGTTTCGATCTTATTTAATGAGTATTGTTTTGATCTGTAATAAATCTTCATTCAATATGAACATTTTTCAACCTGGGAACATTTGTTTTACTTACCCACACAGCACACAATAAACTATTTCCTGCTGTGGAATATTAATATTCAGGTTTAAGGTACAGTATATCCATATGCTGGAAGAGGCGTTAGTGGGGCCAGCAGGGGGCGCTCACCCTGCGGCTCATGTGGGTCCTAATGCCCCAGTGTAGTGACGGGGACACTATACTGTAAACAGGCGCCGTCCTTCGGATGAGACCGAGGTCCTGACTCTCTGTGGTCATTAAAAATCCCAGGGTGTTTCTCGAAAAGAGTAGGAGTGTACCCCGGCGTCCTGGCTAAATTTCCCCATCGGCTGTTATCAATCATGGCCTCCTAACAATCCCCCTCTGTGAATTGGCTTCATTACTCTGCTCTCCTCCCCACTGATAGCTGATGTGTGGTGAGCGTTCTGGCGCACTATGGCTGCCATCGCATCATCCAGGTGGGGCTGCACACTGGTGGTGGTGGAGGGGAGTCCCCATAACCTGTAAAGCGCTTTGAGTGGAGTGTCCAGAAAAAGCGCTATATAAGTGTAAGCAATTATTATTATTATTATTAGTATTATTATTATTATTATTATTATTATTATAAGTGCTCTAAGGGCTGTAGCAAAAACAAAATTCCTTACCTAAACACATTCGATTTTGGCTTGGATTTTCTTGTCTTGGGGATTATGAAACTACAGAGCTGTCCTTTTGTTTGTGCAGGGTGGAGCTGTTCTTTGATTTTTGTCTAGTTCCTAGATTTATTTAAGTGCTACAGGTAGTTAAGGAGGTGGCTTCAGTGCTCCATTGCTTAGCTCTCTTGCCCGCCCTCCTGCTGTAGAAGTCTGCTAACCATTTTATATAAGAAACTCAAATGCATTGTTAAAAGTCTCTATTTCACTAAGCTGTATGCTTAGAATCGCATTACAAATGATCAGTTTAAGCCTACAAAACAAAGAGTGGAATAATGTTAATTCCCAGGCTGTAAATAAATCAGGAATAGAATGCATGGTTTGCATATAGATATGTGCGTAGTTAGAAAAAGAATGACCCAGGTGAGAAAAAGAACGTTAAATTCCACGCAATAATAGATTGCATGGAACAGGTGAGTGTTCCAGGTACAGTATTTACAGCTTTTTTCATCTCTGGTAGCGCTCAAAAATGGAAGTAAACCATATATGATATATAACTAAATTTTATGAAACCAAATATAGCGATCTACTTTATAAAGTAAATGATCTGTCCTCAGCCTTTCCTGTGTGACATTTCTTTACATGCTGCCTATTCACCAACCTGGGCTATCAGTACTACTGAACAGGAGTTCAGTTTCTTAATGTGGTGGAACATACTGTATATTTATATTTAAGTAAAACAGAAACTTTTACTTTTTCAATTCCTAGATTGAAACAGCTTCTGTCCAGTGCTGTATCTAGGATTTTCGTCTTAACCCATATTCATCACATCAATATATTCATGTGGAAGGCTACTTTCATTATCATTTGGCCAGTCATTCGAACAGGGTGCATGGGATTGCATTACTTGTCTTTGTATCTGGTGACTATGAAACTGAGGTCAGTTGCACCGAAACCTAATTACTGTACCATATTGTTCTATTAGCTTCAGACTGACTTTCATGTGCAGTACAGGACTGTAGTAATACATCTTGATGAAAAGAAAGTCGCAAACCAACTGAATGAGCCACCATGCAAGTAAGTGCTACATTGATTTTATATATAATTTCTTCTTGATATCATTACATATAATATCTACAGTAATAAATATTACACCCATTATAAATGTCATGAATCAAGTATTGTTTGCTTTAAAAGATAGCTAGTGGACAATTCACAATAAAACCAACTGAAGTTAAACTTGAACATGAACATCTTTTAGATTTAGTCATTTATGAAAAGCAGGAGCAACTTCTTTTACTTATCGGTGTGTGTTTTAATTGTCAAGTATGAAATAAACTGAAACAGAGAGGAGTACTATTTAGCAGACACCAGTAGTGCGCATTTTGTAGGTACCAAGTTCAATATATTATAAATTGAATAACAAACAAGTTAATTGGAACCAAAATGTACTTTATTGGGTGACTAAGCCAGTGTAGTACTGGATGCTCCTTCTGATCAAGAAACTCTGCTCAAGTGAAAATGACGTACATGATACACATGCTAAATGAAGTGTAGTAACATTTGCAGAAAGCACATAAAACAGAAAATTAGTAAATATGAAATTTCCATTTGACTACATCTAAGTGCTTTGGTTATGTTACTCAAAGCTTATTCTACTCATTAAAAAAATGAGATGATCTGATGCTGAATGTACATCAGTCCTGCTACCTACAGTATGTTTCAGGGTTACAAGTGTTGATGAGATGTCTGTCAGAGTGTGACAGGCCACACAGATATTTCTAGGCCTGATAATCCTCTTTTAAAGTTCTTTAACAAGACACCTGTTGTTCCAGTTATCATTCTGCAGGCTTCACACTCACCAATGGTGCTTCCTTCTCTTCAACATCATCCTCTTTCACGCCTTGCTGTTCGGAGCGGATTTTGTGGAAGAATACCTTCTCCAGCCCTATCCGGGCACATACAATGATGGCAAAGTGCTAGAGATCCGAGAGAGAGCCAGGAAGCTGGACCTGAATGTGGCAAAGGACAATATCTCAAAATACTACACCATCAGCAATCCCAATGTATGTTCTGGCCGGGACATCTTTCTGTTGTCTATGATCTTCAGCACACCAGAGAATGGGACAAGAAGAGAGGAGATCAGAAAGACTTGGGCTAACTTTACCGAGGTCAAAGGCTTTACAGTTCATACGTTGTTTGTTCTGGGGTCTTCACAGTCTGGAACCATTCAGGCTGAAGTCATGGAGGAATCCACAAGGCACAGTGATATCATTCAAGGAAAGTTCATTGATTCTGCTAGCAACCTAACACTCACGATGGTTCTCACTATGCAGTGGACTGTGACTTTCTGTCCCTATGCACGTTTTATCCTCAAAACAGATGAGACCATGTTCGTGAACTATGCAGCTGTAGTGGAATATTTATTAAGCTTGAGGAGGCATCCTGAAGATCTCTACATTGGTAGAGTGATCCATCAGGAAATGCCTAACAGAGACCCACACAGCAGCGACTTTGTGCCAATCAGCCAGTATCCAGATAAGTATTTTCCTGACTACTGCACAGGCTCAGCTTTCGTTATTTCCCAAGATGTAGCCCGGAAGATATTTGTAGCTTCTGCTGAAGTAAAGGTCCCTGTGCCCACAGATGTGTTCATTGGATTGTGTGCCAAGAAAGCAGGTGTCACCCCGACTCATAGTTTCAGGTTTTCTGGGGAAAAGCACATAAGATACAATAACTGCTGCTACAAGTTTATCTTCACCTCTTCTGAAATGACGACAGAGGAGCTATTCCTTATTTGGAAAGACCTTAATGATGGGAAGAGTTGCACTTTGTTAGAAACTTACTACGGCCTAGTGGCATGTAAGGTTCTAACCTACCTTGACAAGTTTGCCTTCTTTAATACAGGTTCAATAAAGGAAACAAATTAATCAGGGGATATCTATTTTTGGGAAAATGATACTACAGCTTCCATTTTTTCCATGGGGCTTTTAACTGCCTATGATAAAAAAGAAACAAGATCTCTAAATATTAGTTTTTTCTCTTTCTTGTAAAATTTCGTTTCCTGACTCTCTTGTTTTTTATACTTTCTCTTTAGAAAAATAATAGCAAAGATGTTTATATAAAATGTTCATCGACATAATGTATGGTATACTGTGAATTCTAAAGCACAAACAAGATGAAAGACAAAACTCTGTTGGCATAGAAATTAGTATTCTAAGTATGTCTGCTGAAATACGGGTTGAAAACAATCTGTGTCCTGACAGGTATATGAGGGCATTGGTGAGATTCTGGGACGTGTCTCTCCTGAACCTTGAACCCCAGTGACGAATCCCAGCTGTTGCATAATGCAGCCCTCCCTTTCTGTGAGAAACAGATGTCTGACCTTGGTGAACAACAAAGGCTCCAGGAGAAAAGAAAATGTAATGCTTCTGACTAAAATGACAGATGATGCTGCTACCTTTTAAGTCCTAATTAATCAGAGGGGGCAGATGGAAGCAAAAGCTTTCAGAATAAAATCAAAGAACTACAAAACTGGCACAAAAACTTTTAACTTGGAGATTGTGTGTTATTTATTTATTGTCCACTTAATTAATTTCACCTGGGTGTCATGTCTAAATTTACTGAACGCTTCTATGGCATTCATAGTTGTGTTTTGCAGGATATGCATCTATAAAGAAGTTCAATATGCAAAAACTAAGATATTTTTCATGCAATTTATGTAAAAAATACATTGATTATAGAAATTAATGTACTGAATGAAGTTAGCTGTTTGTACTGTTAAGATGGACATACATACTTCTAAAAAGTTATTTAATTACACATAATACATTAATTATTAATATATTTAAATAAGTAAATTACCTTTAGTGCATACTTTCAATCATTTGTATATTTGCAATGTATTTTGCGCCCTCTACTGGCATTATCCAAGTGAAGGAAGAGAAGAAGGTTAAGAAATAAACGAAATTGATTCATTTAAAATGATTCTGATTTTCTCTACACTGTCCTTTTAACTGGAAATGTACTGTAAGTGAATGATATGAGATCCCTAAGCCCGAAATAATAAAAAAGAAAAAACAACAATACTTATTCGTGGTTTGGACTGCCATGTGTTTTTTATATGATATTTATACCTAAATTTACAATGACATGAAAAGTTACTCTGAAACCTTTTCACTAAATTCCAAACTTAAGCATCCCCAGGCACATTAAAATAATGTTCCGGCTCTGTTTAGGAATATGGGTGTGCAATGTGAGGAATCACAACACAGTATGCAGTACATCACTCAACAGTTTGTGTGTTGAAAACGATTCATAAGAGACGTAAAAAAACAGATTAACTTCTAAAGATATGGAGGAGTGCATCCGTCTACACGCTATTATAATAAACTATTGCACTCTGTTTCTCCGGTCTTGAAGCAATTTCCCAAAGTAAGTCTGAATAAATTGTTTGAAACTTGGTGTTGACTTACATCAAAGTAAGAATGCTCAAATGATTTAATATTACAATTCAGTAGATAATACAAAAAAGTATGAGCTTACTAATCTCAAATAGTAGATTTTTGTTCACTCTATAATAAGAGAGTACAAGTAACTTTAATGGCAAGGTCAAGTCAACAGATATTGGATGACTCTGCGTTTGGGAAAATCTTTTGACAACATTTTTATTTTGTCTGTGGTAAGACGCAAACTGAGTGTGAAAGGGGTGTATTTGTCATACCGTAGTATTTTAATGCTGTTTTGAATAAACTAAAATAATATACAAATGTGAAAGTGTCCCCAAGTATTCGTTTTGTGTGTGTGTGGTGGGGGTGTTATAAAGTAGTCCCTATGTACAAATTAGGTGTATTATCCAATGTAAGGATAAAGTATAATCTGAACAGGTATCTGAGTATTTAGTGATTCAATGTAGTACACAGAGTGTGTGCACACTTACCAAGTTGTAAAAACTTGTTGAGCTTTGTTTTTTTTCCTTGCAGAGATGTCCGTAAGAGAGGTTGAGAAGCAATAAATTCTGCCTGTGATTTCCTCCCCTCCACAAAGTTTTGATGCTGATGAGTATTACCTGGTAAAATGCATACCAGCATTTATAGCCTTAATCAGTAGTGCTTAGTGTTGGCAGTGCACACAAAGCTGTCCTGCACTGTATCTCTTACAGCCTGGAACACTGAAGACAACATCTCAACTTAGACAATTGATTCACAAAAAAATACAAAATCTGGACAGTTTTTCATTGGGTTTTTCATGAATTGTGAACAACATGGAGTTTTGTGACTGACCTCCACATACTACATATTAACAAAGCACAATCCTTATACAAAGTAATTTGGTCTCATATAACAAGTAGAAATATATTCTCTATATATTTCATTGTACCTGTGTACTGTATATAAAGTACAGTATGCTTACGTACACACACTACAAGTGTTTCACTAGGAATAACAGCCTTCTGAATCAGATGCTTTTGGAAAAGTTTTTTTAAATATAAGAAGTTTTAGCTTAACCAACTTGGTTAAGCGGCAGTCCTCTGGCCATACAACAAGAGAATGTGGACCCACGTTCAGAGAGAGGAGGTAACCAAGCAGGGGTGGAGATGGAGTGGAGGGATGCTTGAGACAAAATCTGAAAAAGAGAAATTTGTGTGTGATGTATGTTGCTAACGTCAATCATAATTACGACTTAGAATCATGAAGTGAAATTGGCTTGTTTGTCATCATTGCTCCTCACCTGCAGTGAACAACTTCTTTTGTTTTTTAGATATTGCACTTTAACAAATAAATAATAAAATTAGATTCTACAGATTCATATATACAGTACTGTAAATAATAGAAGACATCTGTAGTAATAGAACTATAGTATAAAATTTAACGATGCATGTACAATATAGAAGGTAAAAGTCACTAACAATGATTTCATCATCTCTTATGTGTCTTGCTAAAATTGTGGTGAGGTGAGGTCAGAAAAAAGTTTTAAAGTTCCAACTATACCTTGTTTGGAGAACCAAAGTTCTACTCAATGGAATGGGGGTGGTGGTGGGGTGTTAATTATTATTAATCCCATATAGAGTCTTTCACCTTTCCCTTGTAAAAAAAGAGATTATTAACTAAAGCTAAAGAGGGAATTCAAATCCCAATTAACACAATGCACCAATAAATATAAATTGCATAGGCTTTATGCAAAAGCAGCCAAAAAACAATGAAGTCAGGAATGAGGACAACATGAGGACAACATTTCTCCAAGCAATCCTCTGATTACAATTTGGAAGACCAAAGGGGGCTATTAGCAAAATATAACTTGTTCACCACAGGGTACCTGGATACCACATTTCACCTTCTTCCAAAAAAAGTGCCAATATATCAGCAAGGCTTTTCGAGTGAATAGAAAAATGAAATCATTCTTCCAAGCAGAAGGTTTTCTGGCAGGGAGGGTAGCAACTGGTCTACTGAATGATATGATGAATAAGCAAACTTATGTTCTCAAAGGCAAGTCAAGACAGGGTCATGGCCTCGAGATCAACAAATACTAGCTCGATTGAAAATCTAAGAAAATTTGAACAAAAGCCTATACATATAAAAATGTATTCTAAATCCACAGGCTGGCACAGAACTTTGAAGGTTTTCTCTTCGCCAGACATCTGTATTCCATGGAATAAAAAATCACTTTCCTGTTATCTAGGGAATATGGGAGAGAGAATAACATGGTTTTACACTCCAGTAGTTTTAGCAACAGCTCCCTAATAGTTTTGATCCCTTCAGATTTACCCTTCATATCTTTCACTTGACTTCACATCATTTGTCAGTTCTCCTCTTGTGACTACTTTAGCCTAATGTGTACATGAAAACCACAAAAGTTGAGTTTTATTCTTTAACCTAATGTGTACGTGAAAACCACAAAAGTTGAGTTTTTTTTCTCTACCACAGCAAATGTAATCCATCATACAATATCTTTATATTACACTGGCCTCTGCATAAAGCCCCGCATTGTTGATGTTCTATTGCTGTTTCTATGAAATCATTAAATGAAGCATTGGTAGTGTGCCATTGATAGACTCCCTGGTTCCTAGCAATTCAGATTGAAAGTGCCCCTTCTTGTATTCTTGTGAGCTAATATTCTCCAGGTACACGTTTTCTAATGGAGTAAGAGCAGAACGTTTGGTTTTATATTTTCAAACTCAATAACACTTGCCTGCCACTACCTTTGATGATTATCCAATGCTAAAAATGGCACTTTTGTTTCCTGCACATCTCAAAAGGCATCTTCAATTCATTGTTTCAAGGCAGATGTTCGTGAAGTTAATGTCAGACATGATGCAGCCAGAGGGAAGTGCTGCTGGAAAGCTCATAAATATGTCTTCTGTAACAATGATTATTTATTGCAAAACACAAATACTTTCAAACTATTAAACCAACAACGGTTTTTAAGTGAGTAATTATCGTGCACCAGAGCTGGCAGCCAGCTTGAAGGGTTGAATCCCATAAGGCTTTAAAAAACACTTGTTTTTTGGGGGGTACTTTACCTTTTCCATTATACATTTGAGACGAGCTGGATCCTAGTCCAACAATGTATACAAGCGTCATAGGGCACGCACAGATACAAACAGAGACACACACACCTCACACCCGGGCAAATTTTCGCAAAAGTCAAATAACCTTCCAGCATGTTTTTGAACTGGGAGGAAACCAGTGGATCCTGTGGAAATCCTCTTGAACACAAGGAGAACATACCACTTCCACACAGACACTGTAGCACCCCAGGTTCAGAATGGAGCTTGGGCTCCATGTCTTTAAGGCAGCAATGCTAACCATTGGTCCACTGTGCCACCTACAAATATATATATATATATTTGAAATTCAAATCAGTCAGGAAGAATCTTTATACTAATGAATGTAGAAAAATAATGTAAAAGAAAATTAACCACATAACATAATAGATCAACGACTTTGGAA